TAATAATACCCAGGAAAGCCCTAGTGATGGAGCACCAGAAGTTTCCAATTTTCGTCCCATCAGCTTACTTTGTACCGATTATAAAATTCTTACAAGAATACTGGTGCAACGACTTGAGATAGGACTTCGTTACATCGTTGGAGACCACCAGAGCTACGGCTTCAAAGGCCGTTCTTTCTCTCACAACCTTCACCGAATGCGCATCATGTGCGAAGCTGCAGAACAAGGTTATCCACACCTAGCTGCGCTTCAGCTATAGACCTAAGTAAAGCGTTCGACAGAGTCGACCGGAAGTTTTTATTTTCCCTTATATGACACTGTGAACGGAGAGATTACATTGAGAAATAGATTTTGATAATTTACACAGACATCACAAAGAAACACGTCATCAATGGGATTGTACGAACCTCTATTTTTGTGCGCAAATCAGTACGGCAGGGCTGCCCGTTTTCGCCCCTCCTGTTTTCTTTGTATTTAGAACCACTCTGTCGCACTGTTCTTCGCAATACTTCGATCGCTGGATTCCAGTTTTCCGAACACATCCTGAAGTTTCTGGCATATGCCGATGACATTAATTTTGTATGTTCATCCAAGAAAAAAGTCCAGATTGCTCTTGAACTTGTAGAGAGCTATAGCAAATACTCCGGTTCTTCTTTGAATCGAAAAAAAGTCATGCGGTGCCTGGCTTGGAGACTGGGGAACCAAACCTTCCAAGTTTATGGGTATTCAGTGGTCAGAATCAGTGACAGCCTACTTGGGGACCAACTTAGACCATCGTGAAGGTGCGGCGTCCTTATGGAAGAAACGCATCGGAGCACAACGAGCGAAGCTGTTTCCATGGAAATCCCGGCACATCTCTTTTTTCACAAGAAGTTACCTGTGCAACGCCATATCCATATCCAGCCATCCTCTATTCTGCGCAAGTGATGCCATACTCTACCACCACGGCAGACAAAGTTCGGCGTTCCTGGGTTGTATTTATATGGAAATCGTCCATGGAGCGAATACGACGTCAAAACCTCTTTCTAAGTCTTGTATAAAGAAGGCTCAGGCCTCATCAATGTCGGCCTAAAGCTCGCCATTCATCGTTTCCTCTTCTTACGGGATCAGCAAGATTCCTTCACACTGTCTGCACTTCACCGCCTCGGTGCATCGCAACTTTTGAGATGGCCAAGTCACCACTGCTACCCCTACGCCTTCGTCTCGAGTGCTTTTCTTTTACAAACAATTTGTTCAGTCAATCCGCCTACTTCAAAACACTTTTTCGTGGGACTTTCTCCTGAAAACCAACCGTAAGCAACTGTATTGGGCTACATGCTCCGCGCTGATTCCTCCTCCCCTTTACAGACCCTTGACAAGGTCACATGATAACACCCCCCCCCCCCCCCCCCGCTTTTTTCCTTTAAAAAAAAATAATACTCAGCAGTGCCGTACTACTCCATGACCTTAGCGTACGTTTACTTGGTCGTTTTCAAGGGTTTAAACCGACAAACGCAAGCTCGCCATGGAAAAAAAAAAACAATCTAAGCAAAAGTTTTATCAAACTTTTGCGTTTGACAAAAAAAACACTGAACACCTCCCCCCCCCCCCCCCCCCTCAAAACATATATATATAGCCATGCGATTTATTATGGTGTCAAAAGACTACCCAATCAATATTTTGCTACAGAGTCACGTATATTTTTAATAAAGCAAAATAACGTACTGCTCGAAACCGAAACCGGACTGGAGAGGAAGAAGAGATGTAGGGTAGGAGAAAGTTACCGGAAGTCACATAACAATGCAGCTTTCCTTTTTATTTTATTTTTTTCAATGAACGTTTTGCAGTTTTTTAGAAGCCACAAAAAATGGGTATCATATTTATTTTTCAATTTTTAATATTGTGTGTGTGTGCCTTGGATGACCCCCGACTTTGAATAGCCTTGGTGGTTGTGTCTAAACCATAGAAAACGGCACGCTACCACGAAAGAAGAGAGTCAGTGCGGCTCGATCGGCGGTTTTCGGGCGAAGAGAAAATGAATTTCGAGCCGCAAATTGTATTCTGGGTAGTCGGGCTCTCATATGTCATGTACAAATAAAAACCTTGGCGAGCATAAAAACCCTGTCAGTGTCCCTTTACGTTACCAGGGATGTTTTTCAAAGAACAACTTACGTTGTATCGAGGAGGAATGTCTCATTAAAGGGAATATATACAGTGTCAGCTTTTTTTTGTTTAACGTGAAGACTTCTTTGGCTACTCGTTCCAGATTTAGTGAAGCCGGATTTCACTTTCCAGCTAGATTTAACGGGAAAATCGACGTCACGTGACCTCAACATCAATTCAGTTTCCCCGCTAAATTTAGTGAAAAAAATGACGTCACGACCTCGTGCCACCTGACTTCTACACAAATTCAGTTTGCCCACTGGATTTAGCGAGAAAATTGACGCTAAGTGACCTCAAAGCCAATTTCATTTCCCCGCTAAATTTAGCGGGGAAAGTGATGTCGCTTGACGTCATACCGCGTGACCTATACACAAATTCAGTTTCCCCGCTAGATTTAGCGGGAAAATTGACGTCACGTGACCAACACATATATTAAGTTTTCCAGGTCAATTTATCGGAGAAATTGACGTCCGAGACCTGATGTCAATGGGCCCATACACCAATTCAGGTTCCCGCCAAATTTAGCGATAAATTTACATTACGTGACATCGATTGCACATCGGTACAGCCACGAGGTACAGCTATCGCTAAACGCTTGTGGTACAAGAACGTTTCACGTATCCGATAGAAATGCCTAGCAATATGCCAAACATTTTTTAGAGGGCGTCTTTTTTTTTCCTTTTTAGTAATATGAGAACAAATCTTTGTCGTCGTGTGATAAGGTCACGGGGTTCGACGGAAAGGATGAAGCCAAGCAGTCTTCATAATAGCGGCAAATGCGTCTATTGTGAAATGACCCCTGTTACAAAGCATGTGTATTCAAACAGAATGAATAAAGTCACTCAAACAGAATGAAGTCACCCCAAGAGGCGCCGGGTGACCCTACTTATTTTCAAGGTCACAACAGGCAGTGATCAACGAATGCCAGGCAAGCTTTTGGGAGCTACCCTCTAACTCGACCTCCACCGAATTCGCAACCTCCTTTCTAGGTCAACCTTTGTTCTCGTGCTTTCACTTTCCTGGAAAGATGGTCATAGTAACCCCTTCTGTTCAAAAACAAAAAAAAAGAAAAAAAAAAAAAAAAAAGTTAATTTTTCTACAGTATAAAAAGGTCCTGACCGGGAGAGTTGGAGTCTTGTCTTCCTGTGGTTGGCGTTCCAGTGGTTCACAGCACAAGGTACGTGTTGTTTAACTATATATCTCACTGATTTTAAGTATTTTCTCTGCATTCTTCGCCATCTTGCACATCCATTGCAGCTGCGATGCAAGAGTTTGGTGTTTTTTACCACTACTCATGGTTTAGAACACTTCAGGAGTGTCTGACAGATTATTTTTTTACAGTTTCTCCATCAGCTTACCATACAAACCTCACAACTCCAGCTTTATCATTTGGTGACATATGCATGGTCTCGTTCAGCTGATATCTGGAGTTCACGCAAAAGTGAAACGTTAGTAAGAAAATGCAGCCGTCAGCTGGGGCTCAAAACACAGTGTCTGTCGGGTACCGGACACATAATCGAACGCCGTTTTATGGCGAAATTATACTTTTATTCAAACTTCGCTTTACAAAATGTTTCAACGTTAAAGTACGGTACTTTCTAAACGTGTATTGACACAAGGAAATTCGCTAAAAGTAGAATTACTGCCCGGTTCACTCGTTCCCAAAACATTTGGCTACCGCATCATAGAGAGTGGTTAGAAAACAAAATTTAATTGAATATGTCACCTAATGTTTTGTAGTAAGGTAACCGGCTGTCCTCCACAACACGCTTTGTTTCCTCTTTGCCCCCCCCCCCCCCCCCCCTCCCCTATTTGTTTATGTTTACGCAAAAAATGGTACTCAATGAAAAGGAAATTCCAGCAGGTTCACAGTCGTGCCGATTACGAAGACTAAACTAAGAGGAGATACACGCCGTTTTATTTTTGTTACTTGCGACATAGAGATAGCAATACCTATCAAAATACGTATCTTCAAAGACGAGCATACACCGTTGAAGGGCCGTACATTTTAACTGCACCCGATGATTACGGATTTAAAAGTCAATATTAAGTAAGTGTTGCGTTTCTTTATTATTGGCTACCGACAGGACCAACACTGATTTGCTTCGTACAACTTTTGGAAACCTGAGGTTTCTTTAACGCATAATATCCTCCATCTTGCTTTTTTTTTTTTGCGCTTTTTATAGTTCAGTGTTGCCTATGTAGATATGTGTTTTTTACGTACAATATTTTCAGGTACATTTGAAGTACATAGAATGTGCTGTGATTCGCGAACGTACAGTTTTTATTTACGTATAAAACAGATCCCTTTTTCTTCTTTCTGTTGTTTCCTTTAAACCATATATTTATTTAGTTGCCATTTTTGTGACAAATAGCTCGTGCTTTTATTCATATCTTAGATACGTCATCCTTAATTTCTGTTTTCTGATGACCACTGTCTGCCACTGTATGGGGGCCGAGGGCTCGTCATCCAGCCTATAGGCAGCGTTTTTCCTCGGCCATCCCCCCTCGCCCCCCCCCCCCCCATTCTTGTGATGTAATTACATGGATCATTATCATTATTAACACCGCTCTCCTTGTCATATAGTTACAAAATGTTAGATGGAAAGCAAAGTGGTTTAGAAGGGCGAAGGTCCATCGCCCTTCTAAACCAGTTGCTTCGTGGCTCAAGCAACCGCCCGTTTAAAGGCTACAGCCGTTAGCACCTATTCGTTCATCATCCGGATGCTGAAACTTGAAAGAACGCTATAGATTTCCTGGACCCAGTGTTTTTTTGTTTGTTAGCCCGGTAGGGTTGGTCGTAAAACTCTCGAAATAATAGTAATAAAAAAAACCTCCTTTGTATCTTCAGGTACGTCATGCCCGTCAGAAGCCTCCCGAACGTGCACGACCTCGTGGCATCCTACTTCCTCGGGGACCGGAGTCCTGAGGCCGAGGCTTGCCGGTGGGTCTTCGAAGGTGCGCTGAAGCTCGCGCTGCTCGTCGAGGCGGAAGGCGTGGAGGAGCTCTCGCCGGAGCACTACCGTCTTGTTCTCCGGAGGTTGGACATCCTGCTGAGGATCGTGAGCCGTTCGTGTCCGTACCTCGCCGCAAACATCTGGCGGCCCATCAGGCAGGAGGACGAGGAACTGTAGTCTGCACGTCGTCATAAACGGCCCTTTTCAGGGCCACCAACAAGTGTGGTGTCCGAAGACGACTCGTAATGAGCAAGCCTCTCGTGACTCTCCAACGTTATTCCTTCGTATCTTTTGCAAACTGTCATTTTGCCGTGGTCCATGTCGCCCCCTCCACCCCTCTCCTTGCTTGCTTGCGCTGCCTCCGGTCCTGTGTATATCACCCTCTACACAACAGCACCGCACATCGTCGACTCAAACACTGCGGGCAGTGTTCTTGTGATTGGTAATAAACAGTTCCGCTGAAAATGGTCGTATTGTCTGTAATTTTATCCAAAATGCTGGTAAAAAAAGAGCACAATGGTGGTATCCATAGTAACCCTGGTATCCACAGTAACCCTAGTAACCTTTCTTCACAATGGTGTTTTTTTGGTCCGATACCAGAACCAAAAGGATTTTCTTCAGTCGCGCAACACCTAGTTGTGTTTGAGGATTTGTGTTTGTCCTTTGTCCTCCATGTTCCACTCCTCCGTGAATTAATATCGTTATTCTTGTCCAGTTCGCTTGCACCTTTGAATTCCTTGCAATAATATCATAACTGCAGGCCGTTCGCTCTTTTTGGACTTTGACTGGTGGCAGCTGATAAAATGAAAGCCGTTTACAACTCCCTGTAACGCCGAATTAGAACGCAGCTCTTGAGGAGGAGGGAAGGGTGCTGAGGGTCACGTGTACTCGGGGGGAAGGGGTCACGTGACCTCACAGTTACGACGACGGTGACGCCGACGCCGCTCAAGTCGGAAACGGGCGCCTAAGAGCTGCGCTCTAAAAAACCGTTCGCTCTACTGACGTCAAATTCCTGGATATCTTAGTTGGTAGGGCGATCCACTGTCAATGGGGAAGTCCCTGGTTTGATACCCAGACCAGGCGAATTTTTTTTCAGTCGCGCACCCCTCGTTTCAGCAAACCCGCTTTGTTGCTCTTTCCCCTTGTCTAGCCTGCGGAGCCCATACATTGCTACTGTTCTATTCCAGTATCAGCACGCTGTTCGGAAGAACGTACATGCACACGATAAGCTATTAGCGGCGCGCGCGAACTGCAGGGGGCACTTCTCTAACTATCATCATCATCGTTTTTTGAGGTCGCGGGTATGACAGACCGCGCAGATCTTTGTTCCCTCGGCTAGTCAGAAACCAAAGAAACAAACAAACGTGGTTGTTGATAAGGCATATATGTTTCTTCTTCGGTTTAAGTCAGATTAACCTCAGTTGCAAGTGCGCTCTACTGTGTGTCTTTTTTTACTGGTCCTCGTTTTTTAGCCCTTTCAAATTTGAAACGTACCTCCAACTAGCCCAACTCGATACCCTTTTGCAGTTCCCCTAGGCTAACCTAGGGGACTTAAGACCTCAACGTAGTACCACCAGCATCAGAGCTGGAGTCTTGTCATGTCATTGTCGGCATTCAAGTGGTTCTATTGCAAAAAGTATGTATTTTGTTTAACTACATGTCTCACTGTTATTATTTCTTTTCTCTTCTTCCTACGCGATGTCGCCTATACCCATGGCATCTGCGATGCTAAGGTTTTGGTGTAGTGACTTCGTTTTAATACAGTTGCTGGTTAGCACCTTGCAGTATATTTGAACAGATTATGTTTTACAGTCGTTCGTCAGCTTGCAATCATACAAAGCTCACAATTCCAGCATTACCATTTGGTGATACATGCATGCTATCGTGTAGCTCATTTCTGAAGCTCACGCAAAAGTGATACGTAAATAAGAGGATACGGTTTGCAAGACTAAAAAGCTACCCGTAAAACTCCCGAAATAATAATAATAGATAAAATTTCGCCTCTTCAGGTACGACATGCTTGTCAGGTACGACATGCCCGAATGTGCACGACATCATGGCATCTTACTTCCACGGGGACCAGAGTGTAGACGCCGAGGCCCGTAGCCGCCTCGGTGGCTCCGAGGCGAGAGCGCCGGCCACGGATCCCTACGTGGCGGGTTCGAATCCCAGCCGTGGTGCCCGTAATCTGGCGAAGGCTTACTGTGGAGAAGGTGCCGTAAAAACCGAGCATTCGGTTGCACGTCCAAAGATCCCCAGGTGGTCGAAATTAATCCTCAGTCGTCAGCTGGGGCGTGCCAGGTGCCCGTCTTTGGTTTGGCACGTAAAAACTCCAAATTTGACTTTTGACTTTGCTGAGGCCTGCCGGTGGGCGTTCGAAGGGTCCCTACTCGTCGAGACAGAGGGTGTAGAGGAACTTTGGTCGGAGCTGTACCGTCTGGTACGGCTATTTTCTAGTTATTGTTGTTTTGTTTTGTTTGTTTTTTATTATTATTTAGGATGTGCATGAGAGACTGAGATACATTTTCATTCGGAAACAGTGCCGGAAAATCGTTTGGATCTTTTGTGAAATGCACTGCATCTCTTTGTTCTCGTCGTCGAACTCAATGTAGTACATGAACGTGCTGTGGACCGCAACTTGTAGTTCACTCAGTTTGCATAATGTCGATGGCCCACTCCAGTGGGCGCATTTGGCGTTGATCTCTTTCGAGCAGTTTGTAGTGCTACGTATTCCTCCCCGTGCCTTGCATGATGTTGACCTTTTCCAGCGTGCTGCAACGTGGCTTTATTTCCGATTTGCACCAAGTGCTTTCGAACCTATTTTTACGGCTTCGCCTTTAGACCGCCCGGCGCTGTGAATATATTTGATTCACTCGGAGAAGGCCAGTGAACGAACCTTTCGCCACAGCTTTCTGTTCTAACTACTAGCGCAATTTTTTTTTTTTTTGAGTCGTTATTGTGCAATTTATGAAAGTTGTGCACGCCTACAGTTAACTTCTAAAATGCCACAGGAAGGTGACCCTGAGTAAAACAAAACAAGTCATGTCGTTATAGTTGGTTTTACAGAGAGCTGGTTATACAGAGTCTGCCATAGAATGGTGACATTGTTACCCATTGTAGATAAAAACCTTAGCTACTGCAGTTCAACTGCTTAAACCTCGGGTAAAAAAAACTGTTTTTTTAACAGTTTGGTTGGGACACTGGTATCAAATATAGAAATTCTACGCGAAAAAGAAATTAAGAGCAAAATTGACGGCGAGAGATTTATTTGAAATTCTGCGCGCAAAGTCCTTGACGTGACGGAATGGTCATTCAATCAACGAGATGGACATTGGCTCTTTCCACCTCAACGTGAAGGCGAAGCCAATCCACCTTTCCTCCACGCGATCGAAATGCCGAGAGGGAAAACAAGTGGAAAGGAGGAAACGTTACTAAAACACTCAGTTGGGAAACTTGCCGTCGAAACCTGGGCCGCTGGCGTCCACCGAGACCGAGCTAAATGCGACAACAGCGCCACTCTTTATCGTTTGCCTGTCCTGTGGTCCCCTTGAGCTTTTAAAAAGCCTGTTTTTTGCTTAAAACCAAACAGAAAAAACTCTTTTTGTATGAAATTTATTGGAGTTTAGTACAAAAAAAGGGGCGCGTGATGTTTTTATCATTTTTAGTTCGCAAGGTTTTGCGGAACAATTAATATTGTTTTCATACAACCATGCCTCAGCGGGCCTTTCAGGTAGCACGTCCTGACCTAGGTGCATTTTAACGTCGGTAGTGGAACGCGGCGCGTCCGCCGGGGAGACGGGGGTGGTACCCCTGTGTATCTGTTCTTAAGCCAGAATAGAGGAGGGGATCGGTGGCCGGAGGAGGAAGAAGGAATATGATGCCTGGTGGAAACACCGTATCGTCTGACAACAGTACAACCGACTACAAGGTAATCGTTCCACGTTTTCCAACAGGCAACCTGATTTTAAACTCCGTATTCCTGCATGCCGACATAAGCGCTAGGCCTTACTCAGCGCCAGACTTTCGCGACGCCCTCAAAGACGTAATAGATCTCCAAGATGTAAAGGCAACCGAACAATACCAAATGAGTCACATTTGGATGGTCACCTGCACAAACGCGCTCGCGAAAGCGAAGCTCTGTCAACAAAGAGAACTTCTCGTGAAAGGACGAAAATGTCTGGTTATAGACCCAGACACTCGCGACATCAAGATAAAAATAATTTGGCTACCAGACCATCTTGAAGACCGACGCGTCGCTGAGGCCCTGCAGGCCTACGGAACCGTGCGGAGCATGAGCCGGGAAAAATGGAGATGCCCCGGCATGGAACATATGGACACTTTAAACAGAGAAGTGAACATCACACTTCACGACGACATCACGATTGAGAAGGTGCCACATCTCCTTAAGATTTTTGGATGCCAGTGCCTCCTACTCGTGCCAGGCTGCCCACCTCTATGCCTCAGGTGTAACAGAGTGGGGCATGTACGCCGCCAGTGCAAGACCCCCCGCTGCTTTAGATGTGGACGGTACGGACACACGACTGATACTTGCGTCACAACGTATGCAAGTAAGCTCCTTGGACCAAGAAACCAGGAGGCCGAAGAACAACGCGAGCTGCTTATGGATGTCACGGAGGTCCTTGACGCATCGGGGCACACACCACCGGCATCAACGATCGAAAAGTTCGTGGAACAGGAGCACCCAAGAGCAGCACCTGCCATCAACGAATGCAAGGATGACCCTGGGGGCCCCTCGGAGCTACCTCCGCCTGACGAGGACGGCGCGTCATCCTCATCATCAGAGTCAACGATTGTCGGCGAAGTGGATACAGAGTGTGACGAAGAGCATGACGAGGTAGACGTGGAACCCACCACCATCGTACCTGCCTCTGAAACATCGAGACCATCCGATGAACCAGAAGGGACCTCAACGCCCCTCCCGACCAAAAGTTCCTCTGCCGACGAGTTCCCTTCCAAGAGGTCCAAGAAAGACCGCCAGCCGGCAGGGGTGCGGCACAAGCCATACTCCAAGCTACTGGGGAACCTCAAGGGTACAGAAAACAACCACTAAAATGTCCTGATGTATCCCGCCCTTCCATTACATATTCTAAC